GAAAAATACTTCCATTATAATAATATTTTGCCTGTAATTAGCTCAGACCTCAGTACAGAGGCTGAACTTGAATTTTTGAAATACATCACTTAGAAATGGATTTATCCATGTCTTACGACTACAGAGGGGAGAAATTTTAAGAAAAAAACACCGATAATTATTTCAATTGGTTGTAACTCTGAAAATAATGTGTGTTTTTGAAAACTTATAGTTGAGCCTCTGTACAGAGGTCTGAGCTATATACAGGCAAAATATTATTATCTTAAAAGAATTTTTCACAAAAGTAGAACATTTTGAAAAAAGGTTATTCTAAGTTAATTTTTGCTAAAATATTGCCAAAATATTACATTTAAATAATTTTTTTTTGTCAAAATGTCCTTAAAACCATTTTATACGTGTATTCTAATCCAAGTGGCACTAAATATCATGAAATCTATTCATTCATGCGCTTTTTTAAAACCACGGTTCCGAACGTAGTCGGATACCTTAAGCAATGCAATCTTTTTTTTAATCCTACGCCAGACTTAGACATGACTGCCTCAACTAGTCTATATCTGGTATAAACACATACATTTTAGAGACAATAAAATCTTCAATGATTTATGCCAGTAATAGCTGCTGATACATCTTTGAGTCTGGAAGCTGAAGAATCCTTTAAACCGAATCTGTATTTTAAAAGGTAGTCATGTTCAATTGTGATTCTGAAGTGAGAGACACAAACAGGTCTAGGCAGGTCGCTAGGAATGGGACTTTCCATTAAAGAACTCCAATTCTTTCCTCTTACAGAATCCCAAATCTTCTCTTGAAAACTAGCCTTAAATATAGCATTGATGATTCTTTTAACATTTTGATAAAACGTACTGGATAATCTGGTTGGGGAAGGATAGAGCCAGCCTTAGCCAGTGTGTCAGCAAACTCATTACCCATGTTTCAACAGTGACATGAAATCCGCTGCAGGGAGTAATGTAATCTACTTCGAGAAAAAGTTCTATCTTCCATTTTATATAACCTAGTTCTAAATATCCCTTTTACTCCTAAGATATTTCCATTTTCCTATTTCTTGCTTACATAAATACTCTATCAGAATTTTTACTTATGATTATATTGACATTATGTAATTTTTTAATAGTTGCATGCCGTTGCTTCAATCTCGTTATTTCTTAAGGAATCCGACTACGTTCGGAAACGTGAATTTAAAAATGGCATAAATGTATAATTTTCATGATATTTAGTGTCACTATTAAATATATGTATAAAAGAATTTTTGGCGCTTATAAAAAAAAATTATAAATACTAATATTTTGGCAAAATTATTTTAGAATAACCTTTTCAAAAATTTCTTTTTTGTAAAATTGCTTCTATTGTTAATTTTCCGTATAACTGAAACCTCGTCAGAGCTAAACTATGATTTTGAAAATTCTTAAATTTCAGAGATACAACCTTTAAAAATATGGCGTATTTCTTAAAATTTTCCTCTGTTGTGTAAAATTATATACCACTTCTAAGTTAGTTCTTCTAGTGTTCTCCTTCTAAACAAAAAAAATTAATAATTTCTAATACAATTATATATTGCCGCGCTTTTAAAAGTAAAGTCTCCGAGAGTCTGAACTAGGAATTTTGAAAAATTCACATTATTTTCAGAGTTACCACCCATTGAAATAATTATCGGCGTTTTTTTCTTAAAATTGGTTGTTGTAAAATATGGATAAACCCACTTCTAAGTTATATATTTAAAAAATTCTGGTTGAGACTCTGTACAGAGGTCTGAGCTATACACAGACAAAATATTATTATAATAAAAGCATTTTTCACAAAACGAGAAAATTTTGAAAATGGGTCATTCTATGTTCCTTTTTTAAAAAAACATTGTACTTAAATAATTTTTTATTGTAATAACTATTCTTAAAACAATTTTATATACATTTTCTAATCTAAGTGACACTCAATATCATAAATATTGTCCATTTATACGCTTTTGCAAAATCACGGTTCCGAACGTAGTCGGATACCTTAAAATGGTTTCTAAATTTGTTCTGTCTCTATTCTATTAATCTGACCAGATTTAAATACCCCTTTTAGACCCAGCTTCTAAATTCGTGCTGGAGCATTCCACATTATGAGGGGTTGCAATTTTTTAAAAATTTTTTTCTAGAATCATTGGGGTCAGTATAGGCTTAATAAACAGAAGTATATCTGGATCAAAGATAAATACATTTTGGGTTTTAAGAGAATACGAATGCCTAACCTACACAACGTTTGCATTATCGTGCTGACTGGGTCTTAAAGGAATAAATTTTCATAGTCTTACATTTATATAAAAAGGATATGAAAAAAATTACAATGGAAATGTTTACGTCATTAAGTTAACAGTATTACCATCAACACAGTGCATAATAAAAATATCATTACAATAAGCTACACAGAATCCTCCAATTTTGATTTCATATATTGAACTAATGAAAATAATAGAATTTAATTTAAACACATATGTAATTTAAAAATAAAGGGAAAAACGAATCCACGATGTCTTACAAATAAATGAAGAATACAAAAGTACTTATCCTTCGAATTTTTTCAGAAAAAAAATGGAGATAAAGGTAGAACGAACAGAGAAACTGCAATCACATGATTGCGCTCGAATTGCGAGCAAAGAATTGAATGCAGCTAAATGGAAATGGGAATTATCTTCTTCAATGGAAAACTTAAAATGGAATTACACTTTCTCCTTCTTTTCATTCCAAAAAGAAGCGCTGAAGAGCAGCACATCAGCCCGTAGAGAAAGGAATGCTTCGATCGTATTCTAGTCATGAGTTTGTGGTGGAGTTTTAGGGTATTAAAAACGGTGATTCTCCATAAAGTATGGGTTTTCGCTCTCTTCAGAATGACCCTCCAACCCCTCGCATTTAAGTCTTTTAGAACTGGAATTTGGAATAAAAAAAATTGAGATAAGTTCCCTTTTCATCTTGAAGACCATTGATTTTGTTTGTCGAGTTGAAAAACCTGTCAAAGTTTTCTATGTAATTAGTTTATCGATTCCATCATGGGACTCTTTTATTATTGTTTTGTTTTCTAGAAAAACTTGAGACGATTCTGAAATAAATTCCCTTTTGGGAGGCTTAATGCAACCATTATTTTAGTTTGTTTCGCGGAAAAGAATTTATTTAGGGTGGAAAGAAAGAATTTTTTGTGATAAGGAACATCGGAATTTCGCGAAAAAGAAAACTGTAAGATGAAAACACAATTGAAGTAAATTAGATTAATATAAGCTTGTTTCTCTCATTAGTGCTTCTAAATTTCTTACGTTCTTACGAGAAGTTTCGTTTTTTAAAACACTTGAAATGTAGGGATTTCTTTTCTGTAGATTCTCAGATAATAGAAAGCGTTTGTTAAGAAGGATTTAAAATACTTTTCGAGTACAGTTTAGTTCAACTTTTTTCAATTCCTACTATTACTTCACTCTCTTCCTATACATATATGCATATAATTATTTATTAATATATGTATATTTCTTAGTCAAATTTTCAATCGTTGATAATATACTTTTTATTCACACATCTACTGAACTTCAAACACATTTTTTAAAACTTAAAGTGGATGATACTTGATGTTATACAGTTTTTTTTTCAAATATTAATTCATTAATTAAATTTTATTTTTTAATTCAAAATATATTCTTCGTTATTTCTGACGAAGATAGAACTAGAACCAACCGATGGCGTCATTAAATTTTTCTAACGAATTATTTCTGGACTTCAAAATATTTTTCTTGAGTTTTGTAGTAGATGACACTTGATATTATGACAGTTTTTTCAAATATTGATTCATTAATAAAATTCAATTAATTAAAATAAAATTTTTCATTGTTGAACTAATAAGTAATTGACTTAAAATGTTTTTTATATTATTTGTTTTTTAAAAATATATATTCTTTAATATATTTAAACAATAATTGTAATTAAACACTTAAGTGTTTGTACTTGTCCATTATTAGTAAGGAAAAATCACAATTGAAAATTTTTTTTAAATGTGTTAGCGGTTTCGTAAAAGTTTTTGAAATCAAATAAAATATTTGTTACTAATAAATAATACTATAATTTTCTGATAAAAATAAAAGTTCTAAAGTAAATAGACACATTATACAAGAATAAAATAGCATATGCCGATATTTTTTAAATGAAGCATTTGATAAACATTGCATTTTTTTGTTGTTCACTGGAAAAGACAACTTTGGAAAATAATTACAATTGTCTTTTATTTACAAATCTAAGTATCCATTATGTATACTCATAAGGAATCTGTGCATTTGGATTTAAAATGAATCAAATGTACTTAACTTTTTTTTGAAAAATAAATAAAAATAATAAAAAACGATCATTAAACATCTTATTAAGTAGCCAATTCAGAATGTATAGGCTGATAGGAAAACTTTTCATAGAATATTGTCTCCTCGATATTATTTAAAGCCTAATCAGTCTTACATAATCATTTTTTGTAATTGCAATGACATATGATTTAAACAAAAAAGTTACGAATGTTAAGGCATTCAAAAGGCTAATAATGTTATTTATATCAATTTTAAATTTTAGTTTATATACAGAAAAATCTCATTATTTTACATTATATGCTTCATCAACTTACATTTTCAATTCCACTGATTTCTAATTAAACAAGTAATATAAAAAATTTTTAAGTCAATGTCAATTCCTACTTAGGTCAACAAAGAAAAATTTCAGTTTAGTTATTTTTTTAAGTAGTTACAATTAATATGAATATGTATATACATATGACATTGTATAATATGTATTCACATATGACAGAATTACAATACTAAGTAGCAAAATAGAAAGCGATATATATTTTTTCCTTGCAATTTTCCATTTTCCTTTCTATATATGGTTTTGGATTATTATGTTTGTTTGTTAATATCTATCCATCAATTGAATTTAATTATTCCAATAAAATAGTATAGTAAAAAGAAATCAGATTCTCAGAAATTAGGCCGTCTCAGGTGAGAATCGAACCCACAATTTTGAATTAGAAGTCCAACGCGCTACCCATTACGCAACTGGAACACAAGGAGCGATATTCCTTTTTATATATGGTGTTGGACTACTATTTTTGTTACTATTTATTCATTAATTAAATTTAACTAATGAATTAATATTTCTTAAAACTGTATTAAGATCAAGGGTCATTCAATACAAATTCAACAAAATGTACTTCATCTTGAGTGGATGAATAAAAAAGTATTTTATTAAGGATTGAAAATTTAAAAATATATATACGTAGAGAGAGTGTGAACTAATAGTAGGAATTGAACATTACATTATACTTATATCTTTGGTTGTGCAACGTATTTCAACATATATCTGAAAAAATATGCATCAATATATCCATATTTTCAATTTAACAAAAAAGTTACCTCTTTCTGAAAAAATCACCTTACTTTCATTTTAAACTCAGTATTTTTGCATTTTAAAATAATGACGAGTTGTTTCTTCTAAAATTTTCGGAATGTTAGATTTTATAATTAGTCTAGATACTAATTTGTATATTACATGATTAATAAACTCCCATCCTTAATCCAAGACAATTTTTAACTTTATTTTATTTTATTTATTGTTATATATTCTCAAAGTTATTTTGCGAGTGGTTTATCTTGATACAGCTGCAGTTAGATAATTTATGTTTTTTTTTACTACACAGCCAAAAATCCTTTGTAGCAATGTAACTTAGCTACTGAAAGTTCTTTAAATATTGTTTACTTTAATTTGTAAGTAACAACGCTATACATTAAAATAAGTTTAACACAAAAACACTTTATATTAAATATTAACACGAATTAATACAACGGTTCCAACAAACTTTAATGCATTTTTTTCTCCTTACACAAAAAGATTTTCTATCTGGGAAAGAACAAAATACGCAAAACACCAGTCGGATTGGACTGTCATATGGTATAATCGGAAGAATTCATTGCGGTAAATGATGATAATATGTGTACAACCCTAATTATGGCGGACATTTTGGAGTTTGTTCAAAGCTCAAAAATATCATTGATGCAGATTCCAAAGACGAAAATGAAATGAATAATGCAGCTCCTGTTCCCATATTATCCGGAATGAGGGACATCATGAACAGTATGCGCAGTTATTTAGGCGCACAATCCAATGATAAAATGAACAACAAAATGAACGATATAGAACAATGTGTTCACAATTTGATGCTAAAAAAACAATGCAAAGAAAACTATCGGATTACTTTCCAAAAAGTCAATAAATGTTTTGTTTTTCAAAAAAACTGAAAATTTTGTATTAAATTTCTTTAAGTTATTGTGAATCTTTTTGTTTCTTTGATTTTTATTAAATACACACTTATATACATTTCTATGTAATAAGAAAATCTCCACTAAATTTAATTTTGTTGATAGACAGGTTTTTTTGCGATATCCTTTAACACGAACTTCTTTTAGCACGAAAAAATATTTCAGTCTCTTCAGTTTCATGTTAAGCGATTTTCACTGCATTTCATGTCTATTTAATTATTCAATTTTTTTTTTTTTTACTAAGTTCTCTAAAAATATCTAGAAATTGTTTTTTTAAGTAGTACCGAATTTATGATCCTTAAAAAAGAATTTAATAAAAGAATAACGGTCAATAAGTACCATACATAAATACATAACAAAAAATACATAAATGAATATTCTCCGACTTTGAAAAAACAAATTTCAAAAATAACTGGCAATCTTATTTTGATAATACCAACTTTAAAACATATTGACACATTTAATGTTTCAGTAAATTGTATAATATTTATTAATTTTGAATTTTGGTAGGAAAAAGGATAAACATTAAAATTTCCTTCCTCCTTCATCAGTGGCTGACAGCCCAGGTTGGGCCTTAGCCTTTTTAAGAAATTTTTTCCAGGCTAGCTTTCCTCCTACTAGTGTTCCCCAATTCTTAGTTCTTAAAACTATGAGATATTTTTCTAGGCCTTCGATCCATGTAAGATTTACCCCCATCCCTTTCTTTGTGTACAAATTGGTAGGGCATTGAGGACTTCTTTAGTGGTGCGGTCTTCTTCCATTCTGACAACGGGACATGTCCATTTAATTCGTTATATTTTGATGAAGTTAACGATGTCAGATTCTTTATATGATTGATAGACTTCGACATTTGATCTTCACCACATTCCATTTTTCTGAATTCCTCCAAATTAAATCTTAAAATCTTCCTTCCATAGATACTTATCATGTTCTCATCTCCTCAAGACATGGACCAAGTTTACAAATGCTTAAGTTAATATTGATCTTAAAAGATGTTTATACAATAGAATCTTTGTTTTTCTTTTGATTAAATTCGATTTCATATATTTTCTTATTCCATAAAGACATTTGCTTAGTAAAAATGCTGTATGTGCTGTATGAGTTTAATCTTATTAAAGTAAAATGAAATATGGAAGCAAATATTTTTACTCTTTTTTTTGTTGAGCCAGCAGAATTCAAATAATCGTGTTTTTTAATAATATAGAGCTCTCAGAATGGCAGAAAATGTCCATTTATTTTCCCCTGAAGTAGATATAAATATCACTCGGCTTATATAAAACAAAGCAATTTCATACGTAAAACTTTTTTCTATCCATCACGAAAATTAATCGACCCTGTTCATCACTTTTTGAATAGAAACAATATGGACACTTCAAGGTTCTTTTTTATGAAAAAGAGATAAAACGGAGGGGAAGAGGGATAATGAAAAGAATCATTTGTCTCAGTATTTTCCAAGGTCTTAAGTTTAATAAAACTTCAAGTACTCACGTGCTGGTAATACTCTAATACTGAAAATACTTGTTGTTTTCCGATATACAAGAAATATCTTAAAATGAGGAGCTAGTTGAAATATTTTCTCGGTTGTGTTATGAAGTATTTATTGTAAATTAGCATGAAGATTGTGTTTAGCTTTCATAAGAAATGAATATTTATCCAAAAAGTGACTTTTTGTGGCTTGTAGTCATAAGATGACCAATTTTTTTAGATTGAAAAGGAGGACGAAAATTTAAGAAAAAATTACAACGTAAATATATTAAATATTTATTAATCCAAACAAAAACATACTAATTGCGTTTACATCCCTTCTAATTATTTATTTAAACGAGTATTTTTCTATTGAAGGAATTTTTTTTTCGTCAATAAATCATTTTTTTAATCGGAACAAGAAATATTCATCGATTACTTTACGGTAAAGTATTTCAGCCAAGCGCATCAACATTCAATCTTGACTTGGGAAAAGTTCACCAATTCTTGAAAAATTCTCTTTTGTGCATTTTCGGGAAAGAACAACGTAAATTTAACAAAATAATTAATTTTCAATGGAATTAATTCATTTTAAAAGGTTAACAATTCTACATTTTGTATATATTTACTTAGAATTTGATTCAATTGTTAAATTATCAGGCTTTAGAGAGGTCATTAAGTCTTCCAGGACCCCCACTTAATATGCGCCATTTATTTAAAAAACATTTAATTTTGCTTTGTAGAAACTCATTACCGATGAAAACCTTACAACCATTGATAATTCGTTATTCTGTGAAATTTCAGAACCAAATTTTGACATATGGAAAATTTTTTTGGCGAAATTTGCAACTATTTCAAACCTTTTCCAATTTGGTTCTTCTAAGTTGAATTTTGTTCTTTTATTATTTAAAATACATTTTTTCTTCAAAACGGGTTTTATATCAGGCATTTATTTAGATAAAAACTCAACACAATTTTCTATAGCTGACCAATTTACTCACGATGAAGTCAAAAAACACCATTGATAGACTGTTATTTCTTGTGAAATTTGTTTCAGACCATTGTTTGACATATTGAAAACATGTTTGGTGAAAATTCTGTACCTCTTCGGCAAAATCCCTTATGTCCACATTTGATTCTTCTAAGTAAGACAATTTTCTTTTTATTATTAAAGGAATACATTTTTCTTCAAATCGTGACTTTTATTGAAGAACAAAATCATACAAAATAAGACTAACTTTTGATGTTGAAAATTGTTTACCATCAATCTTTTGAATCGTTTTGTGGAAAATAGATGCCTGATTATGTACAAATTACTCTAATATATCCGATAGTTCATGCTGTACTGGTACATGATATCTAGCCTTTCGGTCTGGCATCTCCGAATACAGAAATTAACAGATTAGTTTTAAAATATTGAAAAGGAGAAGACTTTTTTAAGAAGGACAGAACCTATAAAAGAAGGACTATCCTCCCTAAAGAAGGACGAATGGACACCTTAATAGTCAGATTAATATAGAAGCATGCATAGTTTGAATATATGCATTGAATTTCTTAGAAAATATAAATTCAAGTATAAATAATTTAGTAATGATTTTAATTGCTTTTCTACAAATTTGAAATATTTTGACTTTTTCTCAGCGGGAAAGCGTGAAGACGACTAAAATTTTTATTCCAAATGTAGTAACTTTTATCACGCGATACTGTTTATCTGGCATTTGAGTAACAAAACATTTTCTATTTCACTTAATTTCAAATTATATTTTGCAAACACTTTTGCTTTAATATGCAAAAAAGCCATTGATTCTTACAAGAGATTGTTTAATGATTCATATAACGAACGTGAATTGTTCTAGAAAGTAAACTTTGTTCCCTCAATATTGTCTTTGAGTACTTAAATATTATACCGTTGTCATACAAATGAAAAGAAGTTTCTGACTAAAAAAATGCCGTACTAGAAAGAGCTAATAATAAAAACTTCCCATTCCCCTTAAACTACAGTAATAATAAGACGACAGATTTTTTGAATTAGTGATGTGTTTTCGCTTGGCGAAATCAGTCGACAGTGTAATACATAAGTTCCGTTTTTTTCTAAATAATCGTTAAAGGGATCTTAATTCACAAATTCTGTAAAAATTACTAAAACTTCTTAGTTAAAAGTCAAATGTTAGCATTTGGAAAGTATAAATATCAGAAATATAAGACCGTACTGATAAGAATATAGCATTTTTTGTGTAGCTTAAACTCATTAATAAAATATTGTGTAAGTGGCTGTATTTTGAG